TGAAATGATTCAGTGTGCATGCACACTCAAGCACACACAAATAAATCTTGTTTACTAGACATGGTATAGACAAGAAAATTATGTGGCCAAATCAAACACATCATTCAAACCTAAAGTAGCCCAGAAATTTTAGTTCTAAATGATTTGTGAGTGCTAGGCATTTTGCTTCAGTTCACTGGTTCCCTTCAAATATGTTAGTTATTGAGAATCAATTCCAATTTTAAAGAAGGCTTTAATTCCTTACAAATGACTAGGAAGGAAGAAAATGTTCAGTGTTTCCCCCCAAATTACATCTCATAATGTAAGAAAACAGTGGCAAAAAGCCATCAACAGATGGTGTTTTCATTAGCCAAAGATTTAGTTTTCAAAGCATTTTTTGCATTAATGAAGCAAGGTCGAAATTAGAGTCATCTTGTCAGTTCTTGAGTTGTGTTGTTAAAACAGACTGGCATTCCTCAAATTGCTAGGAACCAGAGCAAACTAACCATTTGCCATAATTTTGGGATGGCCTGTAGTCTAACCAGACCCCAAATTATGTGTTCAGCCCTAATTTTTGTTTTCCGTAGCTTTATACAAGCTATAAGTCTCAGTTCAGGGCCATCAGTGAGGAACACACAGCAGGGGTCTTATTCCTGCTCTGCAATGTGAATTATTTATGATACATCAATTTTGATGCCAGTGTTACAACAGGTCACATGTACTTGTTAAAAAAAAACATTCTCCCAATGGATTCACATGTTAGAATGGAAACAGGAAACAGCGGGAAACAGAATTTTGAATATTTTTTTTTTCTTCTCTGGGCTTGCCAAGAAATGGGCTATTTATCAAATTTGTCAGTATAATGATTTTTGATATTCAGGGTTCCCGTTTACCTGGGAATGTGGAGTAGTCAGCCAGAGGAAATCTTTCACTGATTGGATTTATTAGTGATTTCCCTTCTCTAATTTACACCAGACCCTTTGATCAAACAGCTCTGTTCCACTCACTTGATGGTTGAACTTTTGTTGACGAGTTTAGGCTTGCAGCCTTCTGATCTACTCTAACCCCATATGATTTAGCATCTATTTCCAAAGCCCTATTGAAACTCCTTTTACAAAGGTTACCTACGACCTCTGATTACCTAATACGCCCCTCCCCCATATTTCAAAACAAATTCTCACATTTCTCTTGGTCTTTGCACATTTGACAGTGATGGATCTTTTCCTGAAACATGTTTCTCTTGATTATCCTCTGAGCTTGGCCCAGACCTGCATTTGCAACTGCCTTGAATATTGCAGAATCCTCACCACCAGTGTCCCTGCCTCCCAGATCTTCCTGTTTTGCTCTGTTCCCCATATTGCTGCTAGGTTAATATCCTAAATGATTATCTCATTTCCTTACTCAACAGGCCTTGGTAAACCCCTGATACTAAAGAAAATGGGTACAAATCCATTTGTGCATTCAAGACCCTCAAAACAGCCCACCCCCAACACAGGTTCACATTATGTAGTATTTTCTGGCCTGAAACTTGCTCTATAGCCCTGTCTAGCTTGAGACTGACAGAAGTTTGCATATCCTTATTTTCCAAGTGCTTGGACTAAGGGTGTGTATAATCACAACCAGCAAAACAGAGTTTTGATATCCATTTCTATGCTTGTATCCTATGTTCTAGCCAAACTAAATTGTTTATTGATTCCTGAATACAAACAATATTTGTTTTGTTGTGTGTGAGAGAGAGACTCTTACTATGTTGTTCAGTACATAGTAACTGAACAGTAGTTCAAACTCCTAGGCTCAAGTCATGCTCCTGCCTCAGCTATCCAAGTAGTTATGACTACAGATGTGTGCTACCACTCTTGACTGCTTTATTTTAATTTTGCTCATCTTATTCCTTGTGCCTGAAATACCACATCTTCTGTCATCTCTGTTAAATTCCTACTTGTGCTTTAAAATAAATCTTAACTTCATTTTCTAATCTTTAAAGTCACTGCACCCTGAACATAGTATATGCTCAATATGTTTTTGTTGCATTAAATTTCTGAACTGTCATTTCTGTTTTCCCCGCTTTAATATCTATTTTGTTTAGTGATTGGGCCTAATTCAGTGATTGTGATTGGGCCTAGGTCAGTGATTGCTGCCCTTCCCTGTTCCTTTTTTCCCCACTGCTTTCTATTGAGAACACAAATTTAGATGGGAGCAGAGTTAAGGAAAGATGACAGAGACACAAGAATTAAACGAAATAAAGCAAGGGTGGCATGCGTCACTTCCATGGAACTAAAGCTAGGGTAATCAAGAAAGATCTATAGTGATTTTTCTATTGCTGTAAAACACCAAGACCAAAACCAGCTTATAGAAGAAAGAGTTTATTTTGGTTTACAGTTCCAGAGGGATAAGAGTTTATCATAGTAGGGAGGCCTGGGCAGCAGGCAGCAGACATGATGACAAGAGGAAAAAGCTGAGAAATTACTTCTTCATCTGTAGAGAAACAAAGAGAGTGAACTGGAAATGGGCAAGGCTATAGACTTTCAAAGTCCCCTGTATTAGAGTTTTACTGTGAGGCAACTCTTATAAAGGAAAACATTTCATTTGGGACTAGCTTACAGTTGAAGGTTTAGTACATTATCATCATGGCAAGAAGCATGCTGGCATGCAGGCAGATATGGTGCTGGAAAGGTAGTTCTAAATTTGGATTGGCAGGGAGCAGAAGGAGACTACCACACTAAGCCTACCTTGAGCGTCTGAGATCTCAAAGCTGAGCCCCTAGTGACAAACCTCTTCCAACAAAGCCACACCTACTCCAACAAGGCCACACTTCCTAATACTGCCACTCCCTATGAATCTATGGGGCGTTTTTTATTCAAATCCCACGTCCAATAATACAGTTCCTCCACCAAGGCTGCACCTCTATAACCTTTCTAAACAGGACCAAAGCGTTCAAATACCTGAGTCTATGGAAGACATTTCACCATCACGATCTGACATAAAGGGAAATGAGTTAAGCTGCTTCTCAAATTTCCATCTGAGAACAAGTGAAATCAGATTAGCCATACTAGAGATATATACATCTATATAAATATATCATTTGGGACACATTCAAAAAACAGTGTCAAGGTTATTAAGGAGCCAAAGCTACTTTCTAGACAAGTAAGTATCCAAGAACAAGAGTCCACGCTCTTTGTCTATGTCCCTTTACTCCTCAGTGTCCTTCCCACCCTCTCTTTCAGTAGCATTAACTTTGAACAGCAATGAAACAATGAATATGACCCAGGGAAAGAGTACTACCAGAATGAGCGTCAGGAAATTGGGGTATTACATTTGCAACAGATTTGATGGAGTATTGAGATGGTGGATAAGAATGTAGTGTATTCCGAGACCAGGGGAAGCAGCTATCAAAGCTAACATTTAGAAATAAGGAATAATGAGCATCCATAATCAATATAAGGAGATAGATTTTGGTTTTTACACAAGAAATGGGAGAGAGTAGTTCTTTCAACTGAAAATATGTTAGAGTTCTATATACTGGTAAATTTATACAAAATGAATAAATTGTAATTAATAAAAAATAAATTAATTAAAAATAAAAGAAGAAAAGAAAAAAAATTATGTTCAAAATTCCTGGGAAAGTGTTTTTAATGTGGACCTAAGAGGAGCTGTGTACCAGTAAGTGATGGTAAGTAGTAGATGTTTTCCAGATAGAACCAGGCTTTGTGTTTAAAACTCTTGTGTCTAAGGAAAGAAAACTGTGAGTTACAAAATTTCATTTTGGTGAATATCACACTCAACGCACAATATTTTTTCATGAAGAGGGCTACCAATAAGTATATAATGTTATAAACAAAGTGCAAAACATTATAAAATATTGATTGAAAACTTTGGACTAATTAGAAATCCAGGTTTCAGTTGTAGCTTTTGCTACATACTTGTTTCATAGCTATAAAACACTTTACTCTCATTCTACCATTCACTTCTTCCATCATTAAAATGCTAGTATCTCTTTCTGAGGTGACATTATTATTATTATTATTATTATTATTATTATTATTATTATTATCTATGTTGGGGAGACAATTCAGTTGGTAAAGGGCTTCCTGTGCAAACATGAAGACTTGAATTTGATCCCCAGAATCCATGTAGAAGTGTTGGGTATGGTGGTGTGAACTTGTAATCCCAGTGCTGGGGTAACAGAGACAGCCAGATTTCTGGGGTTTACTGGCTTACCCAGCCTAGCCTAATTTGTGGGCACCAGGCAAATGAGTGTCTTTTCTCAAAATGCAAAGTGGATGCCTCCTGATAAATGACCCATTCGAAGTTGTCCTGTGGTCTCCACTAGCATGTATGCACACATGTATGTGCATTTTCATATGTATGTACTCACACAAACATGCACCTTATGTGCACATACATGCACAGAAAGTATAGTTGTCTTAGTCTATTCATGCATAAAAGGTGATATCACCAGCTTTATTTTGTTTATGCTGCTGGGTTTTTTTTTTTTTTGAGAGCAAAAGGAGATGAAAAGTTAACAATTATATAAAATTATAAAAATGTTATGTTGACTATGTTAGTAAATTGACTATGTTACTTGACAATGTTAGTAAATTCCTGCACTAGCCTACAAAGTCATGAATGTCACCTGTTCCCTGATCCGGACAGATGTACAGTTCTTGGCCTGTAGCAGACTTGGTAAGTCTGAAATATGAATCTATTGAGCTGATGATGTGGCTCAATAGTAAAGCATTTGCATAACATGTGTGACGTCTTCAGTTCTATATTCATAGAGGGGCAAACATTTACATTTCTAGGAGTTTGTGGATTTTGATAGGATGATCATCGGAAATGTAAAGCCAACATGAGCTATAGAGTGAGGATCTGTTTCACCTTCAAGCTCCCGCTCCAGAAAGAAGGAGAGAGCTCTGTCTTTTGGTTGATTGATTTCCATATTATGTTGGTTCTCAAGTTCATTGCTCTTTTTTTCTCCTTTCTCCTGTTTGCCGCTCGCTTCATACCCTCCGTGATGGCAGCAAACTCTGGAAATGAACCTCACCAACCTGGTTAAACGCAACAGTGAACTAGAAAATCAAATGGCCAAACTAATACAGATCTGCCAGCAAGTTGAGGTATGTAACAGTAATATGTGTAATCCTTTCATTGGATCTGAACTGGGTCATCTTTGGAGGGACTTCAGTTTTGTCAGACTGTAGCTCAGCCATTTGGGGTGAAGGACTGAATGGTAGTGTAGATGATCTCATGCCATTAAGAATTTTGTTCTAAGAAAGGTCACAGATATGAAAGATTTTTAAGATTAGGTAATGATGATGGTTTGTGGGGAACAACATGTGAAGAATAACTCTCTTCTTTTCAAATAGTAGATGGTATGAGAATCATGTAGGAAGTGATCCTTCATCAAACTGGATGTTATCACTTAAAAAGTCAATACTGGACAATTTACGAATCATGAGTCTCAAATAATGTACGGTGATGTTTACTCAATGCAACATCTTTTTTAATCATCACTGCTTCCCCGCTTCCTAGCTTATCCCCCCTTCATCACATCATCATCTTTTCACTTGTTTTTTTTTATTTCCTCTACTTAGTCTTTTATTGTTATCACCAAATAATTTCTATTAATAAGTTGTCTGTGAATTATGAATTGCTGTACAAGTAAGTCTAAGGTTTAGAAATATTACCAACATTGAATATTAAAAGTGCTTAGAAGGGGAGTTCAGTGATCCTTGGCAAGACAGAAAAAAGAAAGTTGTTATACTTTCTTCTTTCTCTGAAAAGCATATATGCAACTCCATATATATCAGCTTGTTTTGTGTGGTTTTATGGAATAATTGATAATAATACTTAAAATCTAAATACAGACCAATAAAATATAGGATTTCTCATGGACAGTGATTGGATCATTTTTTTAATAATTTTATATAGACTCTTACAATCCACTCTTAATCTTACTTGCATGACAAATATGTAGAAGAGATCAAGTTTGTTCTGTTTTAAATGATGAAATAATTTTATCATGGTCACAGTTCAGGGTTCCTATTTAAGACTGAAGAATATCTCCTAAGGCAGTGAACCCTTATGCATAAGTAATTCCATATCCCCCAATTGTTTGGTCTCCTTAAAGTCTTGGGTTTCTTCTAGTATAGTGAACATACTTAAATGATGAACATACTTTAACAATATAATCCCTTCTGGTCACTGTTTTATATAGAGTACATGGGGTACTGTTTAAATTTACATTTGAAACTGTAGAATGGGATGATGTGGGTGTAGGGAAAAGCATAAAGAATGGAAAGAAGGAACATAAGAGTGTTAGTTGGAAAACTGCATTCCTGACTTTGCTCCTCTATGAACTAACTGGTTACATGAATGTAAGTCTGTTAGGACCTCTGCTTCAGTGTCCTTACCTGTAAAATGTGAAATTGAACCAGTACTGTGCTTTTCACTGCCTTTCCAGGTTTCACAGGCCATGGCTCTGTCAGTGTTGTTCTCTGTCTCTGTCTTTTGTTCTTTTTCTCTACTGTCTCATTTCCAAGAAGAGAAAAACGAAGTAGAAACAAAGTAGAACGTTATTATTTACGAGTAGTTTTCAGCCAATCAGAATCCCTCTGTGTTTCATTTTATCAAAGCTTCTGATTATGCTGCTAGATTATAGTGTAAGAAATCTCCACTGTTGAAGGTACAAGAGAGTATTGTAACCAGAAGATTGTATAAGGGATTTTTTTCAACTGAGAATTTACATGATTGACAGTGGAGTAATAGATAATAGTGAATAAAATATGGTTAAAAATAAAACTATCATTGTATTCATCCTAAATCAAGACACTATTAAGTATAGAGAAAGTAATAGTCAAAAAAGCATTTTACAGTTTATCCCATTGTTCTTTCATGTTAGAATCTCTCTAAAAATAATTTTCTGATTCCTGAGAAACTTCTGATCCTGGCCAGCTTCACCTAAGTGTAGCACTCTTCCATCTTTTCACAGCCCATGCTGGAAACCAGTTCTTATTTATTTATTTATTTATTTATTTATTTATTTATTTATTTATTTATCTATTTATTTATTTATTTATTCTTCTCTCATATATTACATCCCTATTGCAGTTTTCCCTTTATCCTCTCCTCCCAGATCCTCCCCTCCCCTACCTATCCACTTCTCACAGCCATAACATATATACAGAGGGCCTATGTCAGTCCCATTCATGTTCCCTGATTGGTGGTTCAGTCTCTGTGAGTCCCTATGAGCTCAGGTTAGTTCATTCTGTGGGGTTTCTTGTGGTGTCCTTGACCCACTCTGGCTCCTTCCTCTCCAAAGGATTCCTCAAGCTCTGCCTAAGAAACCAGTTCTTTTTATTATTTGCTCTGTTCTTTTGAAATGGTAACAGCAGGTATCATAAAACAATACATCATTGTGTTAGTAGGGCCAGATGCACTTAGGCTTTTGGATATCAGGTGATTTTTCTTTCTTTGGGTGCTAGGACACATGCTAGGCAAGTGCTATATACCATGGATCAGTATCACAGCCCAAGAAGTGATAATTAAAGTCGTTTTCTGAAATTAGCATTCAGAAGTTAACCTGTGCCTTAAGGAAGTAGAGCTAGCATAAGTAAAGTAAGAAGGAATCCCATGGCGTTGAAGCAAAGTAGCTATTTAAGTAGCACCCTTAGGGATGCTTGTTAAATCTCAGTATGTGAGCCACTGTCTGCTCCGGCTACACAAAACATCAGCTTTTGCTACTACCTTTTTATGAATGACATCATGCTAGGTACAGAAAAATAGCTTAGGCATACTATCTCCACACTCAATGGCTTTTTACACACTGTAAAAACCTGCTCTTATATAAAAACACTGAGAACCAACAAAGAACAGTGAGACAATATAATAGTGTTTAACATGATACTATATTTTAGGAGCTAATAATGTATAGTCTCTTTAGGTTTCTCTCCTGAATGAAGTTGGGAGAAGTGACAAGGAGGTGATAGTGAATCTGTCAGGAGTGAATCTGTAAGGGAAAAGGTTTGCAGGTGAATGTGATTAGAATACTTGCATGAAATTCCCAAAGAATTCATAAGATTGCCTTTAAGATTCTGGCCTGGGCGGGGCCCAGCCAGGATGGTTTATGGAAGTCCATGGCTATCCTTCGTGACATCACCCCTTCTGAATGCTTAGAGATATGCCCTTACATTCCCCCTTTAATAATAGGGTGCTTCTAGACTACTTTTATACTCATTCAACACAGAGCCTGTATGTCAAAAAGCCTTCAGGACAAGCTGCAGGATTAGTAATGAAGCTTGAGATATCAAAAATACTTGTAAGTACTTTATGCAGAGAAATAAACAGTAGGATAATGCTAATTATGAGAGCCAGACACTGAATGGTGTCCGGATGCTTCCCTCCCGTTTTATCTTATTCAGATTTGTCTGTAGAGAATTACTATATTCACAGTGTAATTTAAGCACTTCACTTTGGGCGGTGGTGGAGGATGCCAGCTACGACACTTTGGCAAGAACAGGAATAAGTTATACTCCTGCCAAACCTGTTTTTCTTTCTTATTGTTTGAGAATGTTTTTGTCACAGATTGACTTTTCATAAAGAGTCAATAAATACTGCTTCCCCATCCTAGTTTTTCTTTTTGTTTCCTATTCTCCTCAGAAAGTAAACAAAGCTAGAGTCTTCCTAGTATTACAGAAAGAGAGATTAAGAGAACCACTGATATATTAGCTGAATTGTAGCTTATACTTGTGGCTCGGCTTTCAGAATTCCCCCCCCCCCAAAAAAAAAGTAGTTGACAATCTTTTCTTTTGGGGCTGAAGAACATGGAAAAAAGGTAGACTCAGACTCATAGCTCTCCTTTAATCTGGTTTAGTAAGGGTATGCTTTGACCTTGACACTCTGGCCACTTGAACTCTATATTTAGTTCTTTTTTCTGGCTCTTCAAGCATCCTTTGTTTATTTTTCCAAAGGAAATCTCTGTATAAAGCATAGCTAAGGGAAAATGTATACCAACAGATGGTTACTTCCTTTTGGCATTCCTGAAATTTTGCCAGGGAAGAAAAATAGTTAACTCTGTCTAATCAGTGCACCAACAATGTTTCTTGAGCATGCGATATGTGCGTGGCATGCTGATGATCTCCAGGAACTTAGAGCCTGACTAGGGAAAGTCCAGCCTCTACCATGCAGGATGGGGAGTACAAATGAGGTAGTATATCCCCTCTCACTTAGTTCACTTTTTTTCTGAGCTTTTAGGCCCTGAGCACACTAAACAAACAAACAAACAAACAAACACACACTTTCCGGAACTTTTGTGTGCCACTTTGTTTTACCTCTTCCAAAAAAGGCTAGTTCACCCCAGAAGCTCTGTGGGCAAGTTGATATCACCTGATTCTTCTCAAGTCTTTCATGGAGTTGGGTAGTCCTGCAGTGTCTGGACAAGGGAGAAGTAAAGGAGCTGCAGAGGGCAAGTGAGGATAAAAGGAGGGAGGGGAGGAGCTTCCCTTTCGTTGAGGAATTTGAGCTTTACTTTGTCTCTTACCAGTTATTCGTTCCAATGGCTTTGGAAACATTTCTCTTTGGTCTTGAAAGTTGACGTGGCTTTATGTTCTCTATCTCTGTTTTTGTTGCTTGTATACTTGGTTTAGGATGGGCAAGAGTATGTTTTCACAGGAGTCTAACCGTTTCTCTGAGTAGAAAGAGAATAGTTTAAAGGAAATTAATTTTTTCAAAGTACTGCTATCATGATTTCAGCACTGATCATTAAATCCATGAGGTGGTTGAACTGGAAGTAAGAATAGAATCTAAACCATTTGAACATACAGACTGAGTACATAGTAAAAATGAATGAGTAATTACATTGAAGTGAGTCTAATCAGGGGAATTATTTTTTAATGAGAAAATGCATTTTAGCTAAATGTTGAAAGAGGAAAAAATAACCCTCTGGAGAGTCAGACAGCAGATATATTAATGAAGGTGCAAATGTGAGCTTGCAGGGGAAATGGTATTCCATGCTCTAGGTGTATAACAATAAGTAGACAATGGTTTCTGCCTCTAAAGAACGTGCAAATTGGCTGGAAATAAAGATAAAGCAGCAAATTGGATGTGAAGGAATCCTAGT